CTAAAAACAAACTAGCAGCGAAGTTGCGGGCGCTGTAGTCCCGCACTCGGGAGGGCTGAGCCCGAGAATGGCTAAACGGGCAGCTGCAGTCTGGAGATCCGCCACTGCCTCCAGCTGGTGACGAGCCCAGATTCCCGTCCAAAAAAAAAAAACGGTACCAAAGATGATAAAAGCCCACACAAATCCCCAGAGGACTCCTGTACTCAGAGAGACGAGAAACGACTTGGGAACTTGTGCTGCCCAGAGGGCCCATTAAACACAGCCATGAAGAAGCCTGTATGGGAAACTTACGATTAATGATTCTTCCCAGTGTGTGGTCTTCTTTGGTCGATGGTGAATAAACGGCATTGGGACCTTGGTGTCCTTGTTATGGTGACTAGAGATGCAAGGCCACCAATGAGGGCAGGCTTCCCCCCTCTTCCACCCTGAGTCTTATCCTGCCCTCCTCCGGACCCAGGGTGCGGTGCTCCGTCCTGATCCCCACATTTGGCGCTGGAGGTGGAGTAGATGACCTGAGTCAGAAAGTTCAGACCAGCCTGCCAACATGCAAAACCCTGGTCTGTACAAAAGACATAAAAAAAATAGCTGATGTGTGTCCCCATGCCTGTAGTCCTGGCTACTGGAGACTGAGGCAGGAAAATAACTTGAAATAACTGGAGGTGGGAGTTGCCGTGAGCGCGATCAACCGCCACTGCAACCTCCAGCTGGGCCAACGAGGGACCTCTTATCAAAAATAAATAAAAGGCTGGTCAGTGGCTCACACCTGTAATCTCAGCACTTTGGGACCGAGACGGCGGGTCACGAGGGTCAGGAGATCAAGGAAACATCCTTGGGTAACCGTTGAAAATCCTCTCTATCTAAAATACAAAACGCCAGGGAGTGTGGCTGCCTGCCTGTATCCCAGCCTACTCGGAGTGAGCAGGAGAATGCATGAACCAAGGCGGCAGACCTTGCGCAGACTCGACAAAAAAATGATATATATATATTTTTTCTATGTATAATATCCCTATATATATTATGGAAACAACTCTGCCTCCTCCTGAAAGACCTTTCCTCAATTTTCTTCATCCATAAACCGCCACTCTACTTCTGCTGCCAGATCATGGAACCTTGGGCTTTTCTTGATCCTCTTTTTTTTTTTTTTTTTTTTTGTAGAATGGGTTTGCTGTTGCGGCTGTCTGGACTCTCGCCTCATTGACCTCCTGCTGCCAGGCTGGAGTGGCAGTGGGTGTGAATCCCCTAGCTCACGCGCCCCAACTTCCTCGCTAAAGGATCCTCCCAGACTTAGCTCCTGATAGCCTGGACCACAGTCACGTCATCATGCCTGCCTGTTCTTTTTTCAGGTCGTTCTTCCGTTGACCACACACATTTAGGTGCATAATTCTTTCCTGTGGGGTGGCTTCTTGTGACATTGTATGACATAGCAGCATCTGACCCTATCCCAGGGTATAGGCTTATTCATAACCCTTTTGACAACCAGATTCAGTGTGCCAAAATGCCCCTTGTGGGGTCAATGGTCCCCCAGTTGCGAGTCTGCTCTAAAGGAGGCCTAAGTGGCAAGGGCCAACACCAGACCTCTGCAGACTTGGGAACAGTAAAGGCAATGGTTATGAGGGCTTCCCAGGTGCTGAAGCTTTGGACCAGAGCTTTACAAAATTACTCCACCAATTATTTTTATTTGAGACGATTGCGCTCTGTTGCCCAGGTGCAGTGCAGTGCATGCGGATCACGGCACTGCACCTAACCTCGTGCCAGCGCCACCTGCAGACTCCCCCCAGTCTGGGATAAAAGTGGTGAACCGCTCCCCGGGCCAGATCCCTTTTTTTTTTTTTAAATGGAGTTGCTCTGTTTCCCGGCTGGAGGGCAATGCGTGATCCCGATCTCCGCTCACCTCAACCTCCACTTCCCAGGTTCAAGTGATTCTCCTGCCTGAGCCTCCCGAGTAGCTGGGATTACAGGCACGCGCCACCACGCCCAGCTAATTTTGTATTTCTAGTAGAGTAGGGGTTTCTCCATATTGGTCAGGCTGGTCTTGAACTCCCGAACTCAGGTGATCCGCCCGCATCGGGCTCCCAAAGTGCTGGGATTACAGGCGTGAGCCACCGCACCCGGCCTGAATCCCATGTTTAAGTACAGTAATAAACTCATTTTCCACATGAGGAAACAGGGCCTCCAGCAGATCAAGTCACAGATACAGAGTAGCTAAGTGGGGGACGCAGGGGCTGAGCCCAAGCTCTCTCCCCTGGACTCCTTCAACCCGCAGGCAGCGAGGAGCCACTGCGGCTTTTACACAGGCCGCTGACAGATCGGAGGGGATGGGGGATGGAGGATGGAAGTGGAGGGCGAGAGACAAGACAGGAGGCTGCCAGATCCCAGAGGAAAAGGGCCATGGAGAACCAGACACTCTAGGTTCGAATACAACCCCGCCACTTCCTGCGTGTCCGGGGGAACTTGCTCCTCCGAGCCTCAGTGTCCTCATCTGCAAAATGTACACACTCGTCACTGCCTCGCGGAACGGCCTTAAAACAGGCCGAGCGGTCGATCAAGCAAAAGCTGTTTCCCTCCCGGGGCAAGAGATGGGCAGGAGACACCCCAGAATGCGACAGTCGCAGGCCCGCGCACCTCGGCCCGCCGCAGCCAGCGTCACTTACTTCTTCTCGCCCTCAAAGAGCAAGAACGACTCAAAGGCTGGAGGGGCGTTCATGCTCCCGCCGCCGTCGCGTCCAGACCCCAAGTATCTGCCGCCGCCTCCTCCAGAGCCCTGATAAGAGGCCTCTTCCGGATTACTCCAGCGAGACAAACCCGCGTAAGGATCGGCTCATCGCCCCCTTTCGGGCTGGAGGATCTTGCGCAGGCGCGAGAAAAGCCCGAGGGAGGCCCTTGCCTCTGCGCATGCGTCAGTCGGGAGGTTCCCCCCACACACACACACACACACCACCCCCTCCCCTCGGCGTGGCTTGCCCCCGTGGGCGCTCTTCGGCGCATGCTCAGAGCGCTAGGAGGGCTGTTCTGCCCCTACAGAGACCTCCTAGTCCTGGCTGAGCGGGAACCCCAAGCTGTACCTTTCTCCGCTCCCCATATCCCTTGATCTCTCTTTGGAAACTTGCACCCCTTTGGAGTGCGCAGCAGGAAGCCCCTGAATAGAGATAACAAAGCTAAGGGGTAGTGGACAGCTGCGGCTGGCAGCCGTAGGGGGAGCAGAAGATCTCGTGGCCAGAGGCAGATCTATGATAAGCCTTCTCGCAGGCGCCTACGACCTGGCCTGCAGGACCCCTGCCTTGGGGGTGCTCACCGCCTTGTTGCCGGAGGACAATGGTGAACGGATGCCAAGGAGGGACAGGTTATACAGAGTGCAAGAGGACCCGGAGGTTACGTAACATCTTTTTTATATATTATTATATTTGAGAAGTGTTCTCCCTCTGTCGCCCAGCGGGATGCAGTGCGCATCCATGCAGCTCCAACTCCTGGCCCCTCCAGAGATCCTCCCTACCTGCAGCCTCCGTCTGAGCCGCCGTCTCAAAAAGAACAGAAAAAAAGGGGTGTCCAGGTGCAGTGGCTTTACTTAACCTGTAATTCTCAGCAACTTGAAGGCCTGAGGCAGAAGGTCATCTGGGTCAGGAGTTTGAACCGTGTGGCAACATGAATGAACCCTCTCACTGAAAAAAGACAAATATTAGCTGGAGTGGTGCGTGTCGCCTGTAATCCAGCCTACTCGGAGGCTGAGCCAGGAGAACGCCTCACCTCGGTAGGTGGAGGTGCAGTAGCTTGGATCACCACTGCCTCCAGCCTGGCCAACAGAGTGAGACCCATCTTCAAACAAACAACAACACAACCACAAAATCCTCTGGAACCTGCCTCAGCCCCAGTTGAAACGCCAGCTTTAGTTCTGAGGATCAGGGTAAGACCAGGGGCAGATGGAGGTACACCCTCTCCTGTTCCTCTCGCTTTTCAGGGTGCCCTCCGAACATTGCCTCCTGGGCAATGGGCAGCTCTGCTCAGGGCCTGAGAGGAACCCCCGGGGGCAGAGCAGCATCACTGGAGTTAAACTTTCCCTTCCAGCGCCAGTGGTCAGTCTGGGAGGGGAGGAAGCCGGTATGCGCCCGAAGGCAGCCGGGTGGGCCTCAAGATCCAGGTTTCTACTTGGAGCCCTAATCGTCTCATGCTCTTCCCTATCACTGTCACTGCTGGCCTTTAGGCCTCAGGCAGCCCGGAGACCA